GCCAGTCCAGCAGTGGACAGAGCATAACACTACAATTGTACATCATAATTATTATCGGCAAGCGCAACTGATGAGGGGTGAATTCACCGAAACACTGTGAGCAAGGAGTGGTGCTTTCTTGCAGGTTTTCCGAGTGGAAGGTTCGACGGGCTTCTTGTGTGCTCCATGGCGCAGTCGTGAGTCAGTCAAGTGTCAAGTCAGTCTGCTCGTTCGGAGCAGATACCTTCTTCATTAGTTACCGCCGAAGTCGCAACATTTTATATCCGTATGTAGCTAAAAATAGGACGTTGGGTGTGTAATTCTGAGCTCGTTGAAGTTGAAAACTAGCGTAATGAAGATCATTCCTTACCACCTCAGGAGTACAGGCTTACACAAACCCTGATTTGAAAGATAGGGCCGAAGGTCGTGTGTGGGTGCGCTGTGCCATCATAGCTCTGTCGCCTGCGTGCTGAGGCTACATGATGAGCCTACATCCGTGCTGAAAATCATGCATGGCCACGTGAGAGCCCTCCGTGCTAAAAGTAAGGGTGCGTTCGAGTTGTCTCTTTGACCTTTCGACGAGTTTCGAGTTTCGAGTTTTGGCTACGACAGTTCGCAGAAAACATTTTCGACGAACGACTATTCGTCAAATCCTGTTCGTCCCCAAGCCATTTCGTTGACTGGCCCATTGGCTGAGTGTCCTTTTCGACGTGTGAACTTCCCGCCGAGTGACAGGTTAGACGAAAGGTATTTTCATCGACAACCTTTGTCGAGGCGTGGGATTTTCGTCGAATGACACGAAATCGACCCCTAAATATACCTAACAAAACCAAACGAAGGGAAAGGGAAATGTGCAAATGCAAGGCAAACATGGGGCGAGGACACAAACAAGTGAAGGGAGCGAAAGCTTTCCATGGCGTGAGCGTGGTGGTGCAATTCTAACAAATGGATCAAAACAAAAACTATAATAATTATTACATATAGGTTCGCCCTTCCAACAATCAACCATATAAGGCATATCTGTTGATGTTCTTCAAGCAAGTACGAGAACTGATGATGGAAGTAGATCTCAAGACGACCAGCAAGCGTGGAAAAGAAAAGCTCATTCACCGCGGGTATGGCTACGTTGTGGACAAGGTTGGAAAGGATGGAGTAGTTTACTGAAAGTGCGAGGAGAAGGATGCCCTGAGCTGCAAGGGAAGAATGAGGACAAGGCCCGGGCTGGTGACGGCGGTAACTGGCAACCAAACTCATGCTCCGGATGCCATGCATGAGGACGTAGCCAAAGTACGGGGCCAAGTATCCTCGCGGGCTGCCACATCGCAAGAGTCCACGCATCAAATTGTCACGGCCGCTGTAAACTCTGCTTCACCTGCTACGGTTGGGTGTCTGCCATCCGACAGTGTTCTGAAAAGAACCGCTCAACGCATGAGAGTCCGAGCAGGCAATGCTCCCCCAAACCCGACTTCACTAGCGGAGCTCGTCATCCCTCAAGAGTACACCACCGCGGCGAACGGTGACGACTTTTTGTTGCACGACAGTGGTGCTGCATCCGGGGATCACCGCATCCTGGTGTAAGCTACCAAGGAAGGCCTGGACCTATTAGAGAAGTGTGACGCGTGGTACGTGGACATTCAAGACTGTTCCGAGGCTGTTTCTAATAATATGTATAATAATCTTTATTTCAGGATTACCCAAAGGCTGACGCCTATCGGGGGGATCCCCTATTTGTGTATATACAATGAACATTGGAGTTGGGAAAAAGAGAAAATGTGCAAAATGAGTTCGGAAACAGAGAGATACTGTACAAAAGATACAGTGAAAGTACAAGCAGTGTACATGTAAATCAATGAATTCACATCAAAGGAATACCAGTGCAGTTGAACTGATACTTTGCAATGTAAATTATAGCAATAAAAACTGATTTATGGCAGTTAAAAAAGTTATTGTGTTCTAGTCCGTGGACCCCGTCTAAAAAGTAAGAAATTAACGAAATGTGATAGCCGAAAATTAAAATTTCACACAAACCTCACAATAATCACACACAGGATGAAAAGCGAGAAAACCTTTTCCCCTCGTGGTCCTCTTTCCTATTCATGCATGTTGGCGCAGTACTCGTACAAGTCACCCGTGAAGTGTCAGACCAAGATGGACTCTTGGTCAGACTAAACAAGTGTTGAAAGCAGTATTTTTTAACTAAGATCCTGGACCTCAAGTGTTGTGATTATTGTGAGCTTTTGTGTGAAATTTTAATGTTCGGCTATCACATTTCGTTAAGGTGGCTCACGCCTACTTCAAAAAAATTAACGAATGCTCTGAAAATTTGGTGGGTGGTTGCTCTTAGGTAGTGTATGCAAATGGTGAGTTAAAAAAACGGGATCTCAATGCCAACTTTTGATATATAGCCGATGACAATTTCACTAAATTGTCAAATTTGGACAGGATTTGTGATGTATAGCGGACGGGTATTTCATCAAGAACCTGATTTACAATCTTCCTCATTTTTTGGTTATTGAATGGACTAAATGTGTACATGCCAATGAGAAAATAAAAAAACATATGCTTCAATGCTCAATTTCGCCATATAGGCGCAGAATGCCTTTTTTGATAAGTTTGCTTTGCTACATGTACATGCACACCTACATATCCCATGTACATATCCGTATACATCTACTCTTCTCTACTAGCCCCACCCCAACCCTGCAATACACATAGACACATGTGTACACATACATACACACACACACACACACACACACACACGCACGCACGCACACATCTACCCTTCTCTACTAGCCCACCCAACCCTGCAATACACATTGACACACGTGTACACACACACACATACCACACACATACCATACACATACCATACACACACACACACACGTGCACACAAACACACACAAGTGCACACATACACACGCATGCGGGTAAACACACACACACACACACACACACACACACACACACACACCTGTCCTGTCGAGCCACTACCACTAGGGTCACGTGGGCCCCGGAGGGGCAGCAGAGAGAGAGAGAAAGAGCACGCCACCCGATGGCGCTCCAGACACACACCATTGGACCATTGGACGCCCATCGCCGGACGTGATGATAGCAATGCTACAGCAGAAGCCATAGCAGCTTGTGCTGGGATTGCACCATTCAACAGCTTGCAAGGCTGAAGAATTGGCCACCACTATTCACACACACACACACACACACACACACACACACACACACACACACACGCACACACACACACACACACACACACACACACACACACACACACACACAACTTCTACTACTACTGCCACTGTAGCATGGTTGCCCACGGGCCACACCATTCCGAAAGAAGCCAGAGTCATTGTCAGGAGCAGAAATGGAGATGACGACTCAGGTCACTCTGTCAACGGAACTGACGGCCGCAGCGAGAACAGCGGACACCATTATGACGCTCTGTCAGACTTGGTTGCCCGATGGCCACGGTCGCACGTGTGACGTCTGAAACCAGGCCCTGACTTGAATTGCCGATTGCATGTCAAACACAAGAGAGAAGCTTGGAAGCTGAGCGGAATAGATGATGCCGGCGCGGACACTTTCCATGGTTCCAGGGGCAAACAATGATGCACACGCAAGCCACCACGAGAGTGAAACCACCTTCTGCATGTACCACACTGCACAGCACCACGCTGATCCTGGATGGGGAGACTTCGCTCTGCGCCACATTTGTGCCTTGTTTGTCACCTGGCTGGCGAAATGACCGATGGCAGATAAGACAGTACCGTCCACCCGCCATGCAGAACTATCCTGAGCAACTCCATACCAGGCCAGACACACACACACACACACACACACGCACATTCACAAACGTGCGCGTAAACAGTGACTAAACACACACGCGCACACACGCGCACACACACAAGGCCCACACATGATCGCACGCCTGCAGACCATCGCTCCAATGAAGATAAGATTACTACTTCTTTGCGTAAATATGTTTGAGATAGAGTGTCACTCTTAGATGTGACTGATGCCATCAACCAATGTCAAGGGAAAAATTCACGGTTCGCGTCAGACTCGGCTAGAGGCCGTGTTTTCCGCATCCGTAGGAACACCGTCATCCTTCAAGGATTAAGGCGCAGATGCAAGGAAAGAATGTGTTTAATCTTCTTCTGCACACGTAGAAATAGGTTTGGGCATTTTCGATGATTTAGAATGTACGTCGCGTGAATATGACAATGTGACAGAGGCAGCCACAATTTACTGATTACTGTGCATTGATCTAGCTATATACACTGCAAGTGCACTGTAAATATTGTGTTACATGCACGTAGTTGTGAAGAGAGACAGTATACATGTACATTCACCAATGACACACCTGTCAGACAGCAGGTTAGGGCTAGTCAAAGTTATGAAGGCACAATATACTATACGAAGGCACAATTTTGCGATGTACTTGAGTTTGTGAATATATAGTGGACTTTGTGTTCACACATACTCTACCAAATTGCCATGCACACCCTTGTAACACACACACACACTTGAGCCTGGGGAGCATGATTGCTGTCAGCCAGTGTTGCTTTCAAATGCTTATTCTCGTCAGGAGGGATGTGAAACACATGCTGGTAAATATCAATCTCTAAAAATAAAATAAAACCTAATCCTAAATAAAACGCTCGAGCACTGAGTGATAAGACAATAAATTGAAGGAATTTCTCAACAAAAACTCAGTGTACCGCTGTGATCAAGCCGTGGCAATAACTATAGGAGAGTTCTTGGTGGACAGCGATTATTATTATTATTAGAAGCTTCTCCGCGTTGGCATCAATGCAATGTAGATATACACAGCATGTATAGCTTTCGCATAAGCCGAAGCGACAACAGCCAAACAGGATATTGATGGCGATATAAAACATATGCGATATAAAACGCGTGACGAAAATAGAATACAATTAAAACAAGCAAACGAGCAGCTCAACCGAGTTGAATTTGAATTTGTTGATCATTATCAGGGTTCATCTGTGAGCAGCAACATATCTCTCCAGGATACGGCCGCTGAGGTAGGTCCACGCCCCGCGATTCTGGGCGATGCTCCTCAGCTGCTCAAGATCTGCCGAGGTCTTGAGGGTCCTCCCAACCAGCTCGAGATCGTGTCTGAGCACGATCGGCAGAGTTGTGCGCGGCCTGCCCCTCCAGGAAGTGTCAGCGGATGGCTTGAAATAGGAGCACATTGACAGGTTCGCCGGTGCACTCTGGTCCAGCCGCAGCACGTGCCCAAACAGACGCCAGCGGGCTCCCAGGATCGAGATACCAAGTGGTGTTGAGTTTGTCCTCTTGTACAGGGTGTTATTCTTGATCTTAGGTGGGTACCGTATGCCAATAACTTTCCGCAGTTGTTGTCTGTGGAACGCATCAACTCTATGCATAGCGGTGCCAGTGAGGCCCCAAGTCCCGTTGTTGTAGCACAGGACCGGCAAGACGAATGCCTTGTATAGCCGTACTCTCAGCGATTCGTTTACAATGGAACCACGTATCCATAATGCCCAGAGCCGGTGCAGGGCAGCTGTGGCGAGTTGCATTCTCCGCGCAGCATCCTCGTGGTCACCAATGAGGGAGCCCAGCTTCCTAGTGAGGCGCCATTCCTCGCACACTCTGTCGTTCAGCCGTGTGATGTTTGTGAGTTCTGTTTTAGATTCATTGATGTTGAGGTCCCAGGCTTTGAGGCACTTTGCAATGTCGGGCAGGAACTCTTGAATACGTTTGCAGTCAGACGATAGGAAGTCGACATCGTCGGGACAGCGATTACCATAAAGAAATGGTGAGATACTACAGTAGTACCCTCTACTGACACAATGCAACCACGTTGTCCAGTACATGTTCGAATCAAAAATACTTTCGTTCGTTCGTGACCATTTCAATCTATATGCAAGGGCGACCTCCACAATCCACTGGATTCAGAGTCGATTGATCAATATAGAACGGCCATTCTTGACAAAATAGTCACACAAATTTTGTGAAGGATGGCGTTCTACTGTCGAAGGGACTCGCCAAGTCACTTGAACCAATTCAACGAAAATACAAAATACTCAGGTTTTACACATTCACGTACACGTCTGTGCCGTCCCCCATTCCTTCCAAGACATCCACATAGACTCCAACGCCTTTATTCTACTTCTTCTTCCGAAGCCGACCATGGGCATGGGCAGTGCTTGCTGGAAGGGACTTCCCAAAACTTCTCTGACAGGTGACAATTTCCACAAGTAAAAAATGCACCTCAAAAAAGTAGCCAAGTGAAGGAGTGAAAAAAAGAAGAAAAAAGCTCACACTCTAGACTCGAGTACGAGAGTTTCGTACTCAGGCCATATGCTCGAGCTGGACCCTTCGAAACTGGAGTGCGCTACAAGCTCGCTACGCCAACTCCGCATGCACTTTTCTCGAACGTAGGAAGCGCGAGAACCTGCGCAGAAGACGAGTTTAGAAATAGGCGCGAGCAACCTTAATTTCTTACTTTTTAGACGGGGTCCACCGACTAGAAAACAATAACTTTTTTTAGAAAACTGCCCTAAAGCAGTTTTTATTGCTATAATTTCTTTTGTTTTTTTTTAGCTAAGGATATTATTATAATAATTGTGTCACCAATGGAATGTGCTAAATGATGGCCTACATGTAGCGCCTCTACATGTGCATCATATCAAATTCAATACCGTATTATACGCATTGATGTGCAAGCCTTTTCTTGCAGAAAATGGCACTAGTCTTGCATATTAATGTTCTTCAGTAGGGATGAAAGTTGGCATTGAGATCCCGAGTTCGAGTACTCTGATTTTCTCGGATCGAATATTCGAGTATTCTTCATCTCCTAAAAAGTGCACACCGAGGGCCTTAAAATCACATGATACAACCCTGATTGAACCGAGTGGCAGTCATTTTTCTCTGGTACATTGGTTGCTGGGTCATTTGGGTTCTCTCTACTCGTGAACAAATGTTCACCACACAGTCTGCACATCAAGATCTGCCGACTGCTGCTCTGAAACTGCAGATTTCTGTGATAAATGCAAGTACCATGTATGAACGAGTGCTCTGATGTATTCCGAGTACGATTACTTCTGAAAAAACCCGAGCGAGTACTCGAGTATTCGGTATAATTGTTTCACGCCTATTCTTCAGACTTCTGCAGGGGAATCATATGGGTAGTGGCGGTGATACTTTTTTTATACGCATGTCATTCTGTGGATGTTGCTGTTGCAGAATTTCGTGACTCTGTCATAAAATTGTTTTGTCTTTCAGAAAATTCAGATGTCCACACCCTAAATCACATTTACTTGAGAATTGTAACCAGATGCGTGCCGCAGATGTTTTTGTTGATTCTTTGTTTATAATTGTAGTCATGGGTTGTCGTGATAAGGTCATCCCGCATCATATTGTAGTACTGAAATAGTAATCCTGTTGATGTCGATAAAACTTTTGGAAGTAGTTCAATGACTTCAAAGTGTTAAAAGTCCACGATTGTCTAAAACAACACAGCAAAGTAGGAACAATAAACATGTATTAAAATGTAACCAAATACATTGTTGAGTCCGACACCTCGTTCCAACAACTACACTGATCCTGAGGATATAAGGGGCAAGGATATATGGTTGGAGGTACTGAGAGACAAACAAGGCACTCCATGCTAATAAAAATGTAATGTTACACGACTTTGGGGGAGTTTGAATGATATCAAGAGTACCGTACTGGCAATATAATATATGGTCGCAGTGAGGCCATGAAGCGTTACATTGGCACATGTTTACCGCACGCAGGCGTTAAATGCAAAGTCGCACAGTAGCCGTTACACAGGTTTCTATATTGCCGCAGTCCTTTTTTGCTATTGCAGGACTTCCTGCTGCGTCCAGTTTTGAACTTTTCACCACGCGGTACACGTGCTTTCACAGTTTTCAGCCTTTTTTGCAATGAAAAGATCGCTGCACCCCGCCGGACGCGCGTTACGAACGCAACGAAAATTTGTCGCACTAGCCTGGTCGCGCGTTACGCCGCACCCCCTGCGTTACGCGTTACGCGGCAACATATATTGCCAGTACGGTACATGAAAACCAGAGTGTGCAGCTTGGGGCCTTTTCTGCTATGGGTGTCTGTCACGGCGGAATTCCGTGATTACAATCATCATATTTGGCGCAGATCTGAGGCGAGAAATGGCGTAGTGCGTACAACTGAGCTGCAGTTGTGGAGAAAGAGACCTGCTTGAATCCTGCTTGGTTTTCATGTACTCTTGATGATATCCAGTAGGGCTGCAACGAATATTCTATTTCACAAACGAACGAATACTCACCCATAACGAACGAATAACGAATATTCTCTCAAAATGCTCAATTATTTCAAGGTTGAAACAAATATTTAAATAGGAACGAAATCGAATTTTTTTTGGAAACGAATCGAATCTTCTATATCAAAAGAATCTTAGAAAGAATTTGGCTAGTCCCCGGTTGTTCTAGACAAAGTAGATGTCTAGTGGAGTCATGTCCACTACTCTTGTGAATCATATTCCCCTTTCTCAACACATAAAACATGTGCATATCACTCCATCCGTTGAAGAATTACTACAATAGATCTACACAAGAGCAGAGTGTGTGCACGTGTCAAAACGAACGAATAGTCTAAAGGGGAAAATGTTCCTTCTATTGGGTTCCAAACGAATATCTATCGAATATTCGAATATTCCTTGTAACCCTAATATCCAGTCAAACCTCTTTAGGACGAACATCAAGGGACCGATGTAGGTGTTGGCGGATAATGCTCGGTAATATGGGATATAATGCTCTCAGTAATGCTCCACAAAAGGCCATAATTATATAATGCTCCAAATAATGCTGATAATGCCTCGCCGGACGGAATATAAACTCCTGAACCTTGCGGTATTGGGCTAAGAAAAACGCTATAATATTGCACCCATGCTATGATAAACACATAATACAATATCAGGTAAACTTGTAGGTACATGATTATACTCTTCTTCCCTGACAATGTTGTATCGCATGCCAAGCACACTAACTTGCCACAGTCGCTTTTGAGCGGCTCATCTGGGACCTCCCGCAGACCCGCACCCGTGTTTCGGCACTGATGGCCACTTCAGTGCTCTATCCATGAGCTACTCGCGTCTTTTTGGAAACATTTTCAGACTTGGTAATAGCTGTTTTCTGAAAAGACCGCTTCCTCGCTATCGCGGCAGGATCTGCAGTTTCCAACTCAACGACGTCACTATCATCAGAGGACTCCGCCAAAAGCTCATCTGGAGAAAGCCCAGCTTCCTCCCAATCCCAAGAACGGCATCGCGGCGAGTCAGCCATCAGGGTTGGCTGCTAGTTAGCTGGTCTTACACAATGGTCAATGTCCGGTAAAAGTCCAGCGTTCCTCTTCGACAAAGACATGGACTCTTAATCTTGCTTCGATGAAGAATGTTTTTGTAACATTGTGGACGGTAACCGGGTAAGGTCTGGAATGTGTGCGTGTGCGCACCTCCACCGGTCCATGCTGGCTCACATTTGTTTCGTTGGTTCGGCGTTGTTACCTGGATCTTCAAAAAGTAGTTAGTTGCTGGCCGAAGATAGACTTCCGGGATCGGAAGTTTCTGCGAGAGTTTCCACACTGTGCTGGACCACAGCCAGCTAGCACTATTGCATGCAGTATTGCCTTGGCACTGCGTGCCACGATCTGTTTGGTACGATGCATGATGGATACGGTGGTCTATCGCTTGTAGCAAGAGTACATAACCCCCGTTTGGGGGTTATGTACTCTTGCTTGTAGTAATACATCGCGATACTAATAAAATGTTGCCAATCAAAGACCAACGCTATAGCCGATACGAATCTGTACATGACAAAGTGTGTAGATCTACCATGCAGTCATGTAGAACGTCGTATAATGCCATTTTTGGCCTCGTAATGCTTTATAATGCTCGTAATGCTCCGGGTGGTGTATAATGCTCGATATAATGCCGGCATTATCCGCCAACACCTAGACCGATGGTATTTGTTCTGTGAGTTTGTCTTAACCCTATTTTATAACGAGTGAATACAATTATTTCTCCAATAGAGACACGAATAGATTTCTTCTACAGCGAAAGATTCTAAGCCAGACCAAACCATTGACTCGTTTTGTATGAAACAAATGAGTCACTGAACTTTCTTTAGCAATGTCAACGTGACGGCAACTGAAACAACAACAGCGAAAATACGATACATATCCAGCACATTCTTGAAGGTACTACAAACAGATTGCAGATCGTAATTCTTGCTCTGCCGGCACGCAACCTTTTTGGGGCAGTGCAATCTCGGCGCTACTCACAAATCAAACAGCCCAGACTCGAGTAAACAAATCCAATCGTACGAGATTTTCACGAGACGAGACTGCACCCATTGGCTTGTTTCGTATGAAGCAAACATGTCACTGAATGCATGAACCTCTCCATAATGGAGATTTTCCCTGATACGCACATTTTTGTATGCGAATTTATTTTGCATACTCGGCCAATGCGTCCTTGAACCTTTCCCTCCAGATTGGGAACTGCCAACGATGCTATGCCACTGCAAAATTCAGATTCTGCCCAATGATCGGAGCACGGAGTGCCGGAAGCAATCATGACCAGTGCCTTACTTGTAACGTACCAATGTACAATGAACATGAGTATTTCGACAACACATCTAAGCCTCAGCAGCAACATAAGCCTTACCGTCAAGAAGGTGAACTCGCGTTCTTCGCACACTGTTGGCAAGGGCAAAGAGATACGAATGGATATAAATCCGAATAAATCAGCACACGTTTCCGTAAATGAAAGAGTGAGCATAAGCAAATGAATCGAAGGAAACTGGTCAACTCAGAG